AATGGGGCAGGGGCAGAAGCTGGCCTAGTACTTATATTGCTGTTATATAACCCTGATCCTTAGGAGACAGCACAAACTTGTGCTCCTACCAGCAGGATTTGATGCTTTTGTCTCTGCCCGTTCTCAGAGGCAGGAGGTCGCACAGCTTTCACGATATTGCTCAGGTCCACGCCTAAAAGGGGAAATAAAACCGAGTTTAATATTGGTTCCAGGACAATTAGAGTCAAATAAACGGTATTAGTTCCAGTTCTAGGGAAAAGCTGCCAAGTTAACCACAGAGAACAAAGATGAAATTGTTGTAAAGACGCTGAAATGTTCAATTCTGACTGTAAGGTCAAATTCAGCCTGGAACAAAGCTTGATGTCAGTTGAGGAGAAAAAAGAGAAGGAATTTCATTTCACTGACCAAATTTTGCCCTCCAGCTTCCCTCTAAGCAGTTCTGCAGTCATAATTAATCCACAAAACCAGGTCAGCATTAATGGTGTCCCTGTTCCACCTCACAAAGGCTCCTTTCCAATGCCGCAGGATTCTTTTAAACCTTGGGATTTGTAAAACCCCAGCCCGAAACAACCCGAGCTGCAGAACACGTCCGATACCTTGGGACTCGAACTGCAGCACGGCTTCTCTCACGGCCTCCTCCGGATCCATCTCAAACTCGGTGATGTTCTCCTGCACCGCATCGTCAAACGTTTCCTGGGCGATCTGCTTGGACCCCATTTTCCCGGGATGGGATGGAAGCTCCGCCGTGTCCTGCTGTTCAGAGAGAACGCAGCTAATTTTGGTGCAAAACCTCCTCGTGCCAACCAGAAACAAAGCAAGGGGCTCGTTCCTCCTCAAGACAAAAGCTGGGAACTCTGAATCAAAAACATACAGACAAAGGCATGGCCGGCTTTTTACTTCATGGAGAAAATAGGGAAATTCAGAGGGATAAGGAGACATTTCAGCAGCATTACAGGATTTCCATGGGGTTTCAGGGTCTGTCACCGTGACAAGGCTCTCACTGCTCGGTAACGGCCCTGGGCCCTCAGCCCGTCCTGCCCCGCTTCCCCCGGGCCCCAGCGCATCCCACACCCCCTCAGCAGGCCCCGCCAGCCTGCGGGACCGCACCCCGCAGCTCCCAGCGGCAAGAAGAGGCCCCGAAG